CGTCAGCGACAACCTCATTATTTTTATACTGCTTTACCGCATTTATATCTAACGACGCTCTATTTAGTATAAGTTGTTGATTACAGTTTATTAAAATACGTTTATAGTCTTCACAAAACCCAAACAGATCTTTAAGATTAATGCAACCGTTAAACACGCCGCTCTCGATAAAATCTTTATTAACATTTTTAATATCATCATCCCAAGCAGCGTTATAGTGTGAAACAATGTCTGATTTATTATACGAGCAATATCCTTTCAATGTTGAACTTATRCCGGGGTTAACGAGTTTCTGAATTTGAATCCCGTTCAGTTCATATTTCATTTCAGAGAAAAGAAATGCTAGTCCATTGTTTATAAATCGAATATCATCTATAAAATCAACAGGTTTGGTTACTGTCCCCTCTATGTAGATGTAACTTTCACACGGTAGAGTATACGAATCTGTGTTATGTAAAGCAATACGCACTTCGTCATTATTAGAAAGGGCAGATGTTGAATAAGGKWGRAAAGAATGATAATCAATTTGAGTTATCCTACAATCATCAACATATCCAGCTGATATGTTCAAATACATATCATCCATATTAAACAGCGTTTAGTGATTGTAGAAAAGCTAAATTTTCAGCTGTTAGACCACCTCCCACTTTAGAGTATTTAAATTTATTTTTATATTTTTTCTTCAGAGTTGTTGACTTGATAATGTCACAACAACGACTAGCAGGTTTTTCGTATACTCGAGTATTTATATTATAAAACTGTAAACCCATTTTATCATAAGTCTTTGATTAATAATCGTATTGATACTGGTTCTCCACGTAGATCRATTAACTCGTTATCCTGATTTTTTAAAGTTATCTCTGCATGCGTTATAGATGAACAATTGATAGAATAAAAAACCAAATGTGTTGGAATCTCTATAACTTTATAGCCTGGAGGTACATTTGGATAGAACTCGTTTATTGTATGACACTGCTTCCCGTTCTTAAATGAGCCCGCAACCAGGTTTGATTTGATATATATACACTATACAGTTTGTTTTGGTTATATTAACCAACATACCTGATTGATGTCTAACATTAGCATCATATATACGTTTTTCGAAACCCAACAACTCACCTATATTATTAGGCATGGATAAATCTATAGATACATTACATAACATTTCACATTTTAACGTGTTATTATTCCCCTTTAACTCGAAAGATATCTTAGAATCAGCTAGCATATGCTTTATTACCGCCTCGATTTCGCTCAACTCATAAGAGCCCGTAGGTAATGAGTAGACGATATGTGTTGTTTTCTCACTTTTCCCCTCGTAATATATGAAGCCAATTTGATTACACTTCTCGTTTATATTAGGAATAGAATTATTTGTCTGAAAGCCCAACAGACAAATCTTAGCATTTTTACTGACTTATATTGGTGGAAAAAAGTCACAAGACAATTCACTAGAGTTACCGCTTAACGTTATAGTGTACATGATAAAAATTTTAGACAGAGATGACCACAGTATGTTGTATTATATTTCTTATGTCTATCGTAATTATATTCGATATTACAATCGTTGAAATATTTCTGTAATTTTAGTGGTGGAGGTAAATTTCCAAAGCTATCGTAATATTTAACTTGTTTTYCGATTTTTCTATACGCTACCCAATGAGTTCCGCCACCCTTCTCATCATCCAGATTAACTATAGCCGACTCTCGATGTTTATAGTGTAAAGGCMACTTGTCTCTGGAAAATACTCCAATGAAATGAGGTATTGTCAACAAGTCAATGTATTTTATAATCTCATAATCATACAAAGCTCTATCGGGTAACGTATCAATTAGTTTTTTACAGCTTTCTTGGATTTCTTCACCGACCCACCTTTATATGGTGTAAGGTATAAACCTTTACCTTTTACGATTTTATAAGAACCCCCCTTGTACGGTGTGAGATATAAGCCCTTACCTAAATGAATAGACCTGTTTTTATCAGATTTTAAATCATTCACGACTTTTACTATATTCCCAATATCACTGGTAAGCGCACCTAATGCGCTTAAACCAGCAAATATAGGTATTAATGGTAAAACACCTCCCTTTTTAGGAATCGGTATAATCCTAGGAGTTTTAGTTTTCTGAGTTTTCGATTTTTTAGCCGCTGTCAGACAAGTTCTTATTAATTTAGCTATATTCTTTTCTTTCATTTTATTTTTGATTAAGTTTTTAGCAGCCATAACCATTTGTTTAAATCCACAGCCTACTCCCATCTTACGTTTGACTTTCATAGCTGTAGTAACCAACCAGGATGCAGCTTTCTCCTTAATACCACTGTTTTTAGATTTAAACACCTCCCAAGCYTGATTTTCTAATATTTCATCGGCCTTGTGTCTATCACCTAGTGAATTACTTCTATCATARGCGATATCATGAGCTCTAGCCAACTCGTCTAGACTGTTTACACCTCGATCACCGCGTGCCAATCTCTCTTTTAATTTAGTACCAGGAGTGGCCGGCAAATCTGGAAATAATTATATTTGAAATTAGGATTGATTTAATAATTTAGTGTAGTGACTTACCTATAACCTGGTAAATGTAATTCTACAGGTAAATGGTTTATTACCGAGTTAACGAGGCCCGAACCTTTATTGTTCTTTCGTTTACGAATGCGAGACATCGTGTGACGTTATCATAGACAGTGCATCTGTATTTATAGAGAACAATATTGTAATTGAAAATGCGTTTTATCGAGCAAGAGAAAAAAYTTCGAATTTATAATATTGATACCCCCGATACAATTCAATTTAGACATGGTGATCTATTCCCAAATACGATACGCTCTCTAGTATTGGGGAGTTCAGGCTGCGGTAAGACGAATTTGATATACTTTCTACTAGTCGATGAAAACGGACTCCGATTTGAAAACATTTACATATACTCTAAGACCTTGGAACAACCGAAATATAAATTACTGAAACGTATAATKGRCGGTATAGATGGGGTTRACATTTTCACATTTTTCGAGAATGATAAAGTCATCACACCTGAAAAAGTATTACCAAACTCTATATTTATCATGGATGATGTTATCGGAGAACAGCAGAGCGTTATAAGGGAATATTTTTCCAGAGGGAGACACAATAAAGTAGATATATTCTATCTAGCTCAGAGTTATTCAAAAGTRCCTAAACAGTTGATACGTGATAACGCTAATTTAATAGTATTGTTCAAACAAGACGAAACTAATTTATAACATGTATATAACGAACACTGTTCCGGTGATATGTCATATATTCAATTCAAACAGTTTTGCGTATAGGTTGTGTAAATATAGTAATTTGTAAAGATAGTGAACGTGATAGCGGACGTTATCGATTCGGTTTTGATACCTATGTGGTTATATAAGTTAATGTTTATAATAAAAAATATCATTTAAAACGGAGTCATGAAGGAGCATAGTAATATATTAGAGGAGTTGATACGGGCTAAGGAAAGTATAAAACGTAAATATACTACGTTGAAAACTGGTGAAGCTAATGTTCAACAATTAATGACACAGACGTTCAAACCCATTATAGATCCTTTGACTAAAATTTCGAATACACGTGATTTATACAATAATCAAACTAGGGGAGAAATTTTTGGAATAGATTCTAAAATTATTAATACCGATGAGGGTAATGATGATAACTATCGGTTAGAGGTTGAAAATTGGTTTCAATCGAGGGATATAGATAAAACATTTGGTCTGAAAAAAATTGCAAACAATGATATCACCTTGGGTGATAAAGAAGTGAAATTCGCTCAAAACGTGATAATCATCGATGAGGTTACTTATCCGACAACCTCGGGTATTATTCAGTTATTATTTCTGAAAAATCCACTTGTTTATACTGATAAAGATTTGAAGGTATATAAATCGATATTAATTCAAACGTCAGCGCATTTAACTGCAGATGGTTTAAAAATTAGGAATACTACTTGTAGAAAATATAAAAATATTATAATTAAATTATTCCCCACTACTGGTGGTGGTGGTGGTGGTGGTGGTGCTGGGCTGTCTATGAAAGTACAGAAAAATAACTTAGTGTATTGGGATAACCCAAACGAGTTGGTCGATAGACTCCGATTACTTCTAGCGTCGAAATCAGCTGGCAATACAGGTGTTTCCAATGAAATAATAACTATTTTCGAGGAATTACACGAGGTCGGGATAATTAAACGAATTCCAAATGTCTAAATGTGAAATTGCTATTGAACTACACAAACCATCACGGAGAAATTTCACGAGACGTAGAGTTAACATATATGGAAAAAATGACTTGTGGCAAGCTGACTTGGTTGAAATGATACCATATTCGAAGAAAAACAAAGGTTATAAATATATTTTATGTGTGATTGATTGTTTTACTAAATTTGCATGGGCTCTACCATTGAGGACGAAAACGGGTAAAGAAGTCACTAGTGTTATGTCTAAAATATTACGCGAACGATCGCCAAAAGTTCTACAATTGGATAACGGAAAAGAATTTTATAACAAGGTATTCGACGAGTTGATGGCTAAATATGACATACACAAATATTCTACATTCAGCGTTATGAAAGCATGTATTGTAGAACGATTTAATCGTACATTAAAAGAAAAAATGTTTAGAGAGTTTACCGCGCGAGGCTTTCACGAATGGATTTCTATTTTACCGACATTGCTGTTAGAATATAATAATTGCAGACACAGAACTATTGGCATGACACCGGTGCAAGCGGATTCCAACCCACTTGTAGTGGAGATAAAACAGCGTGAAATTAATAATGTGAGAACAAAATTTAAAGTGGGTGATAACGTGCAGATTAGCACTCAAAAAGGGGTGTTTACAAAAGGTTATTTACCAAACTGGTCTACGGAAATATTTGAAATTATTAAAATCAATAAAACATCACCCGTTACTTATCAGCTGCAAGATTATATGGGGAAACCGATTGCCGGATGTTTTTATTCCGAAGAAATACATAAGACTAATCACCGAAATTAATATTTAATCGAAAAAATTATACGTAGAAAGGGTGATCGAGTGTTTGTCAAGTGGTTGGGCTTTGACGCGATACATAATAACTGGTTAAAAGCTAGTGACCTTAAACCGTGAAAACTCATTTCAGTAGTTTAATACATTTCATATGAATAAGATGTATATTGATTATGGATATTTTCAATAACTCGGTGGACGGACGTAGARAAAATACCGTTTCCCACCTCCAGTCGAGTAACAAAACAATTGTATATGATGTAAAGCTACTGCAATCGGAAATAGTTAGCCTGAAAAACATTATTTCAACTCATCAAGAACAAGCTAGTATACAGCGAAATAATAAGTCTCTATTGGACTCCGAAAGTCGTATTTCAGAACTATTCGGTAATTATTCAGAGGCCACTACATTGATCGGTATTACCAGGGAAGACGTTATTCGTGTAATCGAAACAATTAGTCATATAACTAAGGAATTCGAGGAAAATTCTCTCTCAGATCACGGGTTGTTTATTGCACAGCTACACACACGTTTGCAGACTGTCGAGAAAAGTTATGTTAAAAAAAGTTAATTACACTTGAACGAATAGGATCTGAGCTGTACTAGCGCTACCTACTACTATTAAAATATATTATCGCGATATGTGTTAAATTCATGATATCAGGAAACAATTTCAGTTGACCACCTCTATACACCGCAATCGCGTTTGCTAGTCCTCACACTAACAATGTCGTCATCGTCGTCGTCGTCGTCGTTGTCAGCTATCGTAGACATTCAGTGCGTTCTCACGGTTGACAATAAATATATGATAAAAGAAATGTCCGTAGTAGACACAGAATCGTGGGCGAGTCAACACTGGATTTTCAAGAATTCAAACTCCAAACAAATGGCTTGAACGTAATTATCATCAACTGTCTCTGGAATACGATGATGTCGAGTACGAGGAACTCGGTCGGATATTGAATTCACTGAAGTTCGACTGTATTTATGTGAAGGGTGAGCAGAAAAAACAACTTCTTATGGACTATATCCCACACGTCGCGCTCGTCAACATCGAGGACTTGGGATGYCCTCGATTGGATCAAATATGTGGTGGTGGTGATATGAGTCTACCCTGCTCTGTATTTTTCACATGGAATTCAATCCTAAACAATGTACATTTTATAAGGTTTTCGCTATACGTAAATGGTTTGTAAATAATTCTTAAAAGTCTAATACATAAGATGGGGCATGACATGCTCAGCAAGGTCACTCTCAGCATTTGCACCAACTCAGCAAGGATTTAGTTTAATATTATTATATATATATATACTAAGATGTTTAACTATATATATATATATTTTATTTAATAAACATAATACTATTATATTAGAATTCATTTTTTTAAATTTTTTCTTATTACTATTACTAAAATACATTTGTTTACATATGTTAGATGGTTAACATCTATAAAGTATGATTAAAAACTATATTTATATACATATATTTACTAAGAATTTACAACTTAATATTTATGTATAAATTCCACCCGGAGCAGCAAATCAGTCTGTCAAAATCACTTYATCCAATGTATCGATTTCCCTATAAAAAAAAAAAAAAAATGTATAAATATAAGTAAAATACAATAACATTTTATATAATTTATTTTTAAATTTACTTTATAGAGTAATGTCCATGAGCCAAGGTGTGGATTTTGTCTTCTAGGATAACTCTCTTATCATCAAAGTTATTCAGTGTTAATTTGTTTGTTTTGATCGTCATCAACTGATGTTTGAATGAGCGGATGGAAACATTTTCTCTTTTGACATCCATCTCCTCACCAAACAAACACTTTTTGTAGTTGTTGAACGTCATATGGTTATCGACGACATGCTTTCTGATCCCTTTCTCTTTGATTTTCTCCTTTCCAGCCAAAATGAATGAATACGATTTGGCTCTAAACGCGCAGAACTCAGTCATTATAGCACCCTTGGTCTCGTTAGAAAAAAGACCTGGAATCTTATTACGCTCTGCTATATAGCAAGGGTGATCTTTCGGTAGGTCAGATGTATCCATTCGATCCAACATATTCGGGTTGATGGTCAAGTCTCTGTAAAAATCACTCGTGTTGATCTGATACACTAGAGAATCTAAAATAATATATATATTAATTAGTACATTTATACATATCGGTTTTTATATATTTATTTACCTGTATTGGTGTACATTAGCTTAATATTATCTTAATATTGTTATTTCATAACGTTATAATGATAATCATACATCAGTGTTTTACTGATGTCTAATACTGAAAAACCTATAAAAATTTTAAAATATTAAAATAAATGTTTTTTTGAAAATGAAGAGTTAATATTAATTACCAATATAGATAGGTTTGCTGAATTCAATAATCTTATTTTCTAGTGACACAGAACTCAAATTTTCAGTGTATGATGTACAATGTTTAAATGTGCTTTTATTTATAAGCTTTTGTAAACTCCTGTCATTGGATACCAATTCCATTTGTATCCTTTTCCTCATACTCTCCATTGTCTTATCTGTACAGATAGATAAATGTCATAAAGTTTATAAAGGTTTATCTATATGTTAACATACCAAACACAGCGTTATTCATGAGTTTAAAAAACTCCCTCTCAAAATCATTCGTAGCGTTTTTCCGCATCTCAGTATTCAAATTAATGTATTCAGCTAACCAAGGGGATTGATCGAATTGAACAACTCTATGGACCTATAATGTATGTAGATATGTTATAAATGTTAAACAAATTAACATAAAATATTTACTTTTTCCACTATCAACCTGTTTGCTATAGCCTGCTGAAGATTACGATAGTGTATTATGTAATTTTTTTTCCTCTCGAATGTCGCCATCAGTTTCTTTACCTTCGATCCTACAGGTATCCCGTTTTGGGGGAGAAATGGTAAGTCATTATGATCGTTATGTAAGTGTTCAGGACAGGACACATCCACCTCGTATATCCGACCTATAGGAGAAGTCTCATCCAAATCATTGAGTCCATCCAACTCTGGTTTAACCCATTTAAAATTAGTATAAGGCATATTTTGCGACATCGCCCAACCGTTCAGGTTATTACCTAAAATAATATAAATAATATAATAGCCTTGAGAAAAATAAATGTATACTTACAATCCTGATACACCAACCACAAATCTTCCTTCGAATCATCATAATCGGATACCTTTTCGTTATTCGCTTTAGCATAACGCATACTTGCCTGCACCAATCCACCTCGTATACCTATAAAAAATAAAATTTTATTATTTATTTATTTTTAATAACAAATTAAGTTTAATACCAACCATTTTCAAACATCAACATCATATCATAATCCGTCAGCAGTTCCAGCTTCATTGATTTGTATTTAAGCATACAGTCAAATGAAAACTCTGGAGCTGTGTAATAGTATGCAGGATCTAAGTTGTAAGCTTTAATGCACACATCACGGAAATTTTCGAAAATATCAGCCAGTAGCAGCTCATCAATTTTTAAATACAAATCCGAATACTCGCCAATCGTTTTGCGACCAAAATGTTTCCACACTTTCAACGCGTGCTCGTATTCTTTATCTTCAACCACTGACTCAGTCAGGATACTGTAGAATTCGACTTTATCCGGTAACACATTTTCATTAAGCTTACTCCACTCGTCCGTATATTCGTAAGGGTAGACACCCTTACGAGTTACGAGGTTCATATCATCGGTGGAAAAATGCTTCCCCGTCTCACAGAATTTAGAAAAGTCAGGAGTTAGCAAATTTTTAGCGAGCGTTGAAAGTTTTGAAGCCATAAATCTGCATGTGTCTATGAATCTGATTGTGAAGGTATTTGAAACGTATTTGGAGAAGGAAATAAACTTCTCCTCGCTGTTGGGTATAACCGTAATCCTCTGAGTATCATATCCTAACTCTGTAACTATGAAATGAGCATCATAATTCGAAAGGTTATGTAGGAACATGGGACAAAAACAGGTGTTTGTAGTTTCTGGTTACACGTATTGCAAAGAGCCTGTCGATATTTTCCTGAAAGGTGGGAGTGGTCAGCTGTTTTTCGATGTTCTATCTCATGAGGTGGTGTAAACTTTATACAGCACAAATTACAGTGTGTCGCCACCTCATKGACCGCTCTGTCGTGTGCACTCATATTTATCATTACATTTGTTTTCAACAACTTTTCTATCTTTAACGATATTTCAGTGACTATTTCGATGAAACGTCCAGCTACATCACCACGTTCCTCACTACCACGATAAATAATCGGTTTAGTTGGTATGTCATGTTCTTCAAGCAGACTTAATGGAACGTCATTGGAAGCCTTGACGAAAATACCGAAACTCATAGGCTCATGTTTATCAATTATTTCTGTGTTTTTCCCCTTCTTTTCACCATCAGCCTTCAATAGTAGCGCTTCAAAGTCAGCATATATCACGATCGGATGTCGCTGTGTGTTTCTCCACGCATCAAACTCTAGACAATCCCCTTCTTTCGGCATAACTGGTAGTATCGGTTTATGTGAACCACATATCAACTTATGTTAGTCTAACGCAGTCTGTCCACTCAATTGATATTTTCGAGGTCTGTCATCAAAACTCGTAAAACATCGTTTACAAAATAATAATTTACCCTCATATCTAGTTTTTTGAGATCGAATGAGTCTTGAAAAATTAGATATGTATATGTAATGTGTATTATCGTTTTCCGTCACTAATAATAGATCCAAGTGATCTCGTTTTTCTTCATCTACAACTCTAAGTGGGAAAACCTCATATGTTGGGAACTTTTTCGGTGGTTGAAATTGTTTTTCAATACCAAAAATATTAATGGAGACTAATGGATTGTTTTTTTCGAATGTTTTTATATCAGATAACGGTGTTGGAAATGAGATACTATCGAAATTATATTTATCCTCGTGTTTGTAATAATTTTCACCAATACAATATTTCGGTTGCTCCGTCACATGCTTAGCTAATATAACCCACTTGAAGCATTGTTGATCCGTATTTTGTGGATTGATTGTACCCCTTTTTCTATCGATACTATCTGGTAAGGATATATAAGATGATCCAGACATTGGTGTATATTTATACACTCCTAATAATAATCCATCTATAGATTCTAGCGTGAATCCACTTCCTCTGCCCGTATAAGTTTCTTCTGCCATTAATAATTTTGTAAACGATTCTTAAACAAGTGCTGATATATCTGACTCTCTAAACAACTCGACTGCAGATGTTTTGAATGCGCGATTTTCTGAGGAATTTTCCACACGTGGTCTATTATAAGTGGCTTCTAGTTTTAAATTAAATTTGATAGCGTTTTTCATAACATGTGTTTCTAGTATATTGATTAGATCGGATTTCAATGATTTTAGAAATATATTATAATTTTGAATATTATCGATATTTTTAGCGTAATACCATACGATTTTACGGTTTGCTGATGTTGAAATTTCTATAAGACCTAGGGATCTAACCAGTTCCATACGCACTTTTTTCGCCTTAACTGCTGAAGTAGAATTAGCGGTGGAAATGCGTTTACCGTTGACTGTAGTCGTATAAGAATCTTTAAGAAAAAAAAAAAAAATATATATATATATATTAGCTTATACTCTATCAATGATATTAAAGTTATACAAATGTATACAAATAATTAAAACGAATATTATCCTATACCTATAGTATTAAAATAAAGCTATCACAATATAATAATCTATACATTTTGGAAACTGATTAACTCTGTTCATGTTATTCAAATATAGTTAAGACTGTATAAAAATATTTGAATTTTAAAAACTAACACTAACTTAATATTATATTAAAACAAAATTATTACTCAACAACGATATAAAATCCTTATATTCCGTCTATACCTATAAGTTAATATTCTGTTTATGGTATTAGAATAAAAATAACTTTACATTACTTTGCTAATGTCTATGTTTTATAGTATTAAAATAAAAATATTACTATATAACAATCTACACATTTCGGAAACTAATTAACTTATACTCTGTTCATGTTATTAAAGTATAACTAAATCCTTAAGTTAATTTCAGTCTGTGATATTAAAAATAAAACTAACCTTGTATAGTTTCATCCAAATCCACGTTTTCAAATTCCATAAGTAACTCCTTACACTCATCATCATTATTCAACGTACTACATACATTTTGAATAGTATGACACTGGTTTGATGGTTCTCCCTGCGTGTTTGATACTTTTGTTTGCGGAGTTGACTTTATAATATTTTTGCGAGGTGGATGATTGTTAGTTATATCTAATTATTGAAGATATATTTGTTAAAAAATAATTATTTAATAAAATAATATAATATATATATAATATACATACTATGAACATTTTTGTTGTGTCTATTGAGATTTGATTTTTTATCGAATGATTTACTAAATATAGTACACGAAAAACGAACACCATCATGCTTCTTTTGGTGAGCAAACAAATTATCTTTTCGTGTAAAGGTTGATACACACTGATCATATTTAAACATTATGAAATTTATAAAGTATAAATAAAATAAAGGAATAATATTAATTATATTTATACTAGGTATAATATCCACTTAGAATAAAACAGTAAGTACTAATGCTTAATATAATAAACACTTGGAAATAAATACTATAAATATTTAAAGAGGGTGTGATAACTGTTTGTGTGTACTAGAGTATAAGACTGGAGACGTACTGACTGGCTAGTGACACTTGTGGGTCTAGACGGTTATAGATTTGTGATATATTTTAGCGGTGGTAACATTTTAATTTAAGCCATAGATTACTAAAATATTATTTAGTAATTTACTATGTTAAATTATTGTTTCACATAATATTTTCAATTATTTTGGGATACATTTAAAGCATTAAAATAATAGCTACTGATGAGATCTTAAACATACCAACTTTCTATACATAATAGTTATACTTATAGCTATCTAAAGTATTTTCATACATAAGTGTTAAGTATCATGAGTTCATATACGTACCTACTTAATGTTTATTTTAACATACGTTATATGAAGAAATAAGAAAGTTGTTGCTAAACAGACTATTAGTTATTCATTTATTATGTTTATGTTATATTATTGTTGTGTGAAATGATATCTCAACATACTGTCTATAATGATGTATATAATTATTACTAAATGGTTATTATCATGCTAAGAATTATTTAATGATTATAGTATAACATATTATATAATATATATTTATTCAGAGTATATTATTCTATTACACATTTACACATATTTTTATTTCAAATAAAAATATAATATTTAGTATATGTATTATTAAATATATCTCAACAAATTGTGGTAAAAGAGATTTAATAGTTTTGTTTACTGTATAATAATTATTAAAAATTAATTTATTTGGGTGAGGGGAGGGGGGATGGTATGGTGGTGTACGTACGTAATACTATAGATGTGTGGTGAGGTTATGATGGATGGGTAGGGGGGGGAGGCCGCGCACGTACGTGAAAGGAGTAGTTACTAGGGAGTAGGTTTCAGAACCGCTCTTTTTATACTACTAAAATACGATCAAATAATGGCATCGCATTGGCCGTTGCATCATCGGGCATTACGGAAACTTTATTGGATGAAGGCAGAACAGCTCATCCGGTATTTATGTTGCCCCTTAATATTCAAAATAACTCTGACGCAGTGTGCAACATAAAAAAATAATCGTACATAGCCACAGTGCTGAAACAGTGTAAAATTGTCATCTGGGATGAATGTACTATGGTACACAAGCATTCGCTTGAAGCGTTAATAGGACATTGAAAGATATTAAAAACAACGACAAGCTATTTGGTGGAACTCTGTTAGTCCTCTCAGGTGATTTCAGACAAACTCTTCTCGTCATTCCACGTTCAACATACGCTGATGAGATCAACACTTGCTTAAATTCATCTCATTGTGGCGTAATGTTGAAAAGTACAGCTGAAACTAAATATGCGTGTTCAAATGCTTTAAGATCCATCCGCTGAAACATTCTCAAAACAACTCTTAGGATATCGGCGTTGGAATACGGTTATACTATACATGAAACCGGATGCGTAAAATTACCGACCGATTTCTGCACAATCATTAATTTGCAAGATGCTCTCATTGAACAAATATTTCCGGATGTACACACAGTACATAAATCATGTGTGGCTTGCAGAAAGAGCAATTTTAGCGGCTAAAAATGTAGACGTTGACGATTTAAATCTGAAGATACAACAGTTGTTGACAGAGAACTTGGTATCATATAAATCTATTGATACAGTTAGCGATGACAGTGAAAATGTAAATTTTCCAACAGAGTTTTTGAACTCACTGGATTTGCCAGGCATGCATAATTTACAGTTGAAGGTTGGGTCTCCTCCGATTATTGTACTTCGTAATTTGAACCCACTATGACTGTGCTCTCAAGTAGGTAAGCCATCCAGTTTGTGTTAGCTAAAGATGGGCTAACAAAAAATATTGTTCACGCTATAGCATTAAGAAGTTGATATTGTTTGTTAGTGTTACTGTCGTGATGAATTAATGATAAATATAATTTTGAGGAATAAATTATTATAATAAATTTAAAAAATAAATGTTTGGTGCTTTGTTATTTTTATCTTCCCTCATGGTTCACAGCGTTCCATGCCTCTTTCACTCATTTACCGAATCCTTACACACTTACAATAAGTTAATTATTTTTTTTCTACACTATAAATTCCCTAGAAATAATTTATATGGCAAAACAACGTTTGCCGGGTCAGCTAGTATAATATATATATAATTCCAAATATCACATAATTTTCATAACCCTTGTTTTGTATTTATTTCAAGTATTATAATTTCTTTCAAATAGCCTAAAGCAAGTAAAAATGTAGATTTCATGACTAACATTTGTTAATGCTATGCATTTATTTTTTATCACCTCATTTTCGGAAAAAAAAAACATTATTTTTTCAATAATAAAATAAAATTCTTATATTGAAATTTTCTATAATAATTCATATTATAATAATATTTTTTTCAGTTTTTGTTGGTATGTAAATTTTATTTTTTTAATTTTACATTATTAAAAAATGTGAAATTATTTTTTTAATTAATTATTTTCTCCGGGAGATAGCTACAAAATCTATTAAGTGACTAAAAAACATTAAAGATCAAGTATTAGAATCATTAGATTATATTTTATATTGTGAGAACTATCTGCTGTCGGAAACTCGCTGTCCTGAAACTCGGGGGATAGGTGAGACTCGCTGAAGTGGGCGATGGAGGCTAGTGACGACAATGTCGTCGTAGTTCTACATATAAAAATTGTTCCTGTTTAAAAACAAAAATTTGAGGAGGTGATAAGGATTTCTGATAATGCTTGGCGAACTCGTTACGAAGGCGGGAATGTTTGAATTTCGAGTTTGAGTGTCTAGATATATTCTCACATCACCTATGGCCTATGCAAATCGGCCATTGAATAATACGGCCTCCCGTCRMATGTCCRATGCTTTTTCGTATGTAAAWAATCGTCAATTTGAAATCAATGTTTCAGTGTCTAGCAAGTTAATCTCCTCAAGTGAATATCGATTAACATATGTGCAGCAGCTTGTTAGGTAGGCAATCCACCGTAGGTGGATTGCAGACCCTCTGTTCCGCGGCAATACATGAAATTCGGCTACTTTGGTAGTATAWACCTATTCTGTACACGCATAATATATTATTATAAACATTTTAGAGCACACATGATTGTATTCGCCATGATAAACCCTAAGTAAATTTTATCATACACAGAGAAGTAACGTAAACCATACACACACACATATATATATATATTATATACCAGCCATTGAATTATACGGCCTCTCGTCGCATGTCCGATGCTTTTTCGTATGTAAAAAATCTTCAATTTG